AATACTTTTGAAGCTTTATTTTGTTTATTTTTTATAAATAATAAACACGTTTACTATTATATAAAATAATAATTTTTTATTTACAATAAACTAATTAAATATAAACTAATAAAACACCTGAAGAGAGGGTGGGGTTGAGGTTAAGGGTTGGAGATCACAAAGTTTTAAATCAATACTATGACAATACCTGTTTAATTAGTAATTAATCATTACCTTGATGTAAAATATTTAATTATTTGAAATGTTTTCGATTTGATATTTTGATTATAAATATAAAGTTAATATTATTAAAGAATTATTTTATTTTAATATAAATGTAAATGATTATAAGTGCATACAACCAGTGCTTTCATAATTAAATAACATTGGCTTGTATTTTAATGTATAAACTTTTTAATTAAACTTATTTAAAACAATTTTAACAATTATACAAAAATATGATACTATTTATTAAATAAACCCACAATTTTATAATGTCCAAGTGTGGTTTAAGTATTATGAATTGCATGCATTATAATTTATGGCCATTTTGTATTACACGGGAACCTACCAACTGGCTAATTATGTAATATATTGACTATCGTTTTAGTCAATAATTTTAAATCAGACATAATATTTTAAAAATTAATTAAGTTATTTAAGCTGAATAATTTTTAAAACATGTCTTTTATAACTTAATGCTTGATTTGTTTTATATTTTGTTAAATAAAAGCCTAATATTTATAACATTAATGTAACGGAAATTATAATTAATATTTATATTGTAAGAGAAATTAATAGGAAATAATACAATACATAAAAAAAACTAATTAGTCGTGTATTTATTAATAATTTGAAGCATAAATATCAAGGATATTATTTATATCAATAAATAATATAAAGTAAATAAAACATTGTTTTTTGTGTTCAATTTGTTCACTGCTTTTGAAGGATAAGAAAATTCAAAGATTACATGTCTTATGCGAAATATCACTTGAAAACTAATGTAAATATACTCTACTTTTTAAAACAGTAAAATAAGTAAAGGGTTTTTTAATGATGGTGAATCACAGCCACATGTGAATCTCATGCAATTAAAATCCTTGAAATGAAAAGTGTTTGGAAAATATCCTAAAATAAATTTTTAACAAAACATTTTGACGTTTAATTTTTTAAAATAATTATAGAGATTCCTATTGTGATCGAGTGTTTAATAAACAGACAATTGATAAGCAAATAATTGGCTATCAATGGCTAGCAATACATCTTATATTGAATATCTTGGCAAATACAGTGTTTCCCTATTAAAAGTCATATGTTTCCCACAATTTTGTCCGCTCGCGCCACAACTTAGTCTTATTTTCCCAAAATTAAGTCTTGGTTTCAATGCATAGGAATAGAAGTATAAGAATAACAGCAATCATTGAGGGAAAACATTTTATTTAAAATACAAATAATTAATTTTCAATAACTTCTTTGTTGAGACAACGACTGATATATTTCTCCATGTTTTTTACATAATTAAAACAATCATTAGAAGTGATTTCAGCGGAGGCGGTGTTGACGGCATCGTAAAGCTCGTCAGTACTGGTCGGTTGTCGCTGTTTGACTTTACCTTTCCATTGATTGAAGAGGTTTTCAATCGGATCCATAAATGGTGAGTATGGCGGCAAAAAGACCGCAATGTGTCCGTGACTTCGGATCAGCTCTGTTACATCTTCATGGTGATGAAATCTAACGTTGTCCATAACCAGATAAGCACCGGTGATGCCATTTTCCTGAAAATGGGCGAAAAGCTGTGATAGAAATCCAGTATAATCTTCACTGTTATAACTCTTGTCTTGAATTTCAAAGAAAAAGAGAGACTCTTCATTCATGGCCGCACATATAGAAAAGTTTCGGCTCCGAATCTGTTTGACAACTTTGTTGGCGCGCTGTCCTCGCGGCGCACTCCCGCGGCCAACTCTTGACCAGACCTGGACACCCATTTCATCGATGAAATACATCTTCTTTCTGTCGACCATCATTCCTGTATATTTCACCGCATAATCATATCTGTCTTGAATGACATCCGGATCATTTCTGCGCTCCGGCACTAAAGATATACGTTTAACGGTATAGTGAAATGTCTTCAGTGCCCTATCGATTGTGTTCAATGAAATTGATCCGAGTTCTGGCCATTTGAGCAAACATTTTCCGCGCAATTCATTCAAAGTTAGGACACAGTCCTCGTCAGCCCAATCGCATATTTGTTCCTTTTGTTGATCCGAGAGTCGCGGCGGCCGATGTCCAGTCTTCTGCTTTGTTGTCCAACCCTTCAATTGCTTTTTGAGGTAAATTTTGCGGATTGTGTCGGCCTTAACGTGTGTAATGTCCTCCACATCGACAGCACTCATACCTCTGTCCATGTGTTCAATTATTAATTGCCGCAAATCATCGCTAATGTGTTTATACTTCTTCTTGACTTGAGTTGTATTGAGATCAATGGTTTCCATTATTTATCACTAATTAATTGACTAATAGTATCACAAATCTGATAAAAAACTAATTGCACTTCAAATCAACAAAACAAATGAAAGCATTGTTTGCATTGAAATACATGGTATGCATTGAAACGCATTGAATGCGTTTAAACCAAGACTTAATTTTGGGAAAATAAGACTAAGTTGTGGCGCGAGCGGACAAAATTGTGGGAAACATATGACTTTTAATAGGGAAACACTGTAATATTCAAATACTAAATGACTGATGATTGATATATTAATGAGACAAATATAATATAATTCAATGCATTAAACATTTTAATTATAAATATTAATTCACTATTCAATGGGAAGGTCGGCATAAGAGATGTATCGGTGGGTTTGCGGTCATAAATGATTGATATATTAATGAGACAAATATAATATAATTCAATGCATTAAACATTTTAATTATAAATATTATAAGTGATAAGTTACCCTTCCAGCCGTATTCTCTACATAGCCACCCAAACGCCAGTATTTATATTTATTATAATTAAACGAAAAGTTATTCAATAATTAAGAGTTACGTTAACTTATAATACACACACTTAATGAATACTTTGTATAATAGTAAACGTCATTGAAAATGCTGTTTATGAATAAATTTTCAGTTATCCGACGTTAAAAGTATCCGTTTATACACATTATTGACAACTCTCTGAGCCTATGATGAAGTGAACGGAAACTTTTATTATCGTCAGTAATATCTGGATAACACTGTCGGGGATTACACACAAAATGTGCACAAATACTGCAATTATTTGACAATTATCAGCGAAAAATATACATTGAATACACTTGTTAAAAAATATTACAGTGAACAAAATAGTGGTTTACGAAATCATCATCGTAAAACAAATTACAAATAAAGTGCATTTTATTGTTTTAATATATTTGTGTTGAAAACTATATAATATTTGCCATTAATATGGATGCGAGTGATCCGATTCTGTTGGGCAAAATTAGGGACAAATTTTGCGATGACTACAAATCAAATGCCAATTTGTACGACGAGTGCGATTTGCACCGACTTATGGCCAACGATTGGTACGTCAAACGGTTTTTAATGGCCCAACAGTTAGATGTGGACAACACTGTGGTTATGATCAGAGAGGCGTTGCGGTGGCGGAAGGCGTTTGGCGTAAATGACCGCAAAGACAGTGACTTTCCCCTAGAGTTTTATAAAACGGGTGCCGTTTTTGCCTACTGTCCCGATAGGGAGGGCCGGGATGTCATCTATTTGAGGGTTAAATTGTACCGACATTTTCCGAAGTTTGCGGACTATTTTCGGCAATACTTTATGCATATTATCAACAAAATCGATGTTCAAAATGAGGAAAAAGGTAATATTAAATACAATGTTAATTGGTATGAAGTAGTTATTCTTAATAATAAATTATTATGTATTTTAAATAATGTGAGTACTATATTTATTGTAAGTTTTGAACATTTGGTAGAAATAAGATTCTTACAGTGTAATTTTGAAATCAAAAAACTCTTTTTCTATTGATAATCAAATTAATTCTGGCATTATTTCAAAAATATAAATTAATAAATTATTCATAAAATTCAATTGAATTTAATTAATAAAATTAAATAAAAACATAATTAAAAAACATTGGCCGGCGTTTAGATGCTATGACTTTGAAGTTAAATTAAAATGTTGAATAAAATTACAATTAATTTATACATTGTATTTTTAATTATAAATAATGATAATAACACGTTTATAATTAAAACCCGAAGGTTGGGCAATGGTGTGGGACATGAGCGGCACCGGGCCGTCAAACTGGAACCTATCAATTGTGCGGTTCATCATATCGTGTCTGCGAAACTATTACCCCCGAGGAATGCGATACCTTGTTATATACGGCGTGCCGTGGATTATGACGGCGTTCGTCAACATTGGCCTCAAACTGGTCTCCGAAGAGGCGCGGAATGTTGTGAAGTTTGCGGCCAAAGACCAGATCTTTGGCTTCGTTGAGGCCGAAAATTTGCCCGACTTTTTGGGCGGAAAATGTGTCCATATCACGAAGTGCCCAAAGAGGCGGTCAGGGATTGTCACGATTTGGCCGCTGAACGCGGTATTAATGCCGACGAGACCGACGCTGTCCTCAAGTTTTATGAACACTATTTAACCGATTGATTGTTTTTGAATTAATTTTTAAGTAATTTATATGTTTTTTAATACAATGTTTTTATTTTTAAAATAACTTTTTTAATACTGTAGTTTAGTTAAATAACAAATGGAAATGTTTTTGTTCTCTTGTTTTAATAGTAAATACATGTAAACAGTATTAAAATACTGTTTTCTATTGAATTGTTGATAATTAACATTATAAAATATTTTCTCATAAATGATTTATTAGTCGATTATTTTTCATTGTTTTTGTTATTAGTTTTGCAAATACTTGTCGTAATATTTCAATACTTTGTTGATATCGTCCAAAGCGATGCCCCTTTCAATGCCAACCTCTTTGGCATTTCTGGCGCCTTCGGGTATCAGTCGATAGCTTTGCATACATTTACCGCCCATAAAGTCGGGCAGATTTTCCGGCGCTATATATGTGTATAACTCGTCGTTTGAGACAAACTAGCAGAAAGTCTTCACTTTTAAGACAACTCTCGAAGAACTCAACCAATTGTCACCACAAGAGGTCCACAGACTTGAAGAACTCGAGAGTCAACTCAATGTCATTATCAATGAAACACAACACAAAAGGAAGTGGTCTTTAGAAGACAAGAACAACTCGTGTCCACCGAAATCAATCACTAATTCAGCCGTCGGTCTGAAGACAACAACTCTTATGACACAAACACGTGAAGACACGGAGGGATCAGATAAGGACCAGAAACTGGCGATTGATTCGCGACAAACACCACAAATGATTTGCGTTTCACGACAATTGACGACAAAGAAGTTGATCCCAAAACACCAAACGGTTGCCATTCCTCCGAAGCAAACCTCCAAAACGCCATTCATTTTAATAAAACGTTTCAAAATTGATCCCAAAGTGACACCAATTAGTGACTCACGAGTTGTGACCCAAACCGGTAAACTGTCGGCCAGTCTTAAGGCCAACGAAACCGTTAAAAATACTGCAGACGTTAAACAAGTGTCGGATTACTTGAAAACGATAGACAAAGGATTAGTTGCCGTAAATATGTGGACATTGAGAGACAGCACAGCAACTGATCCCAAGTGTTTGAAGACTAATACAAGTGTTGGAACACAACGTGAAGACAATGCAAGGCTTGAAGACAGGGAATCATCTGATTCTGAATGCGTTCAACAAATTGATCCAATTGTGACGTCCAATGAAAGCGATACAAAACCACTCGATAATTATCGTCCGATATCTGCGTGCAGTTCTTGTGGACAACTCTATGACACTAAGGAAGAACTTGAGACACATATGCGGTCACACCTGACAGTCGATGACTGGTTCGCAGAAAAGATAGTAAAGACAGACAAATGTGAAGACAATAAAAAATTAAAGCCTAAGAAGTGTTGTCCCGAAATGTATTCAATGAGTAAAACACCGAAAATTTTAATCCAGTGTATAATCAAAGATTGCGAAAAATCATTCGTTGACAGAACAAGTCTTATCAGACATTTGAAAAACGATCACAACATTGAATCTCTCGTTGAATGCGAGTATAAATGCTGTGAACGAGTGTTTATCACCGGCGCTAACCGGTCGGCACATGTGACGGACATTCATCTCAATCTTTTTAACTGCAATCGAAATAAATGTATTAATCGTTTGGACGGCAAACACTTCGTGTGCACACGATTATCGACAATACAATTTGTGACCACTTTATACACATGTAATGTCGACGGATGCGAGTATACAGCGAATGAAAAGTTTCTCATCGACTCCCACAACAATAAACACAATAACGTGCGGCCATATGTGTGTCCGCGCGTGTCGTGCGACCGAAGCTTTGGTAATAGGAAAGGACTCGCGCAACACGTGCGCAAAGTTCACGCCAAATATAAGCGGTTTGTATGCGATTTCAACAATTGCGGCAAACGGTTCGTCCATAAGTGCGGCTTAGACTCACATCGGGTCACTCACACGGCTGTCGGCCGGCAATACAAGTGTCCCGAACCGGACTGCGGGCGGCACTTCAAATCCCCATCGAGTGTATTCGCACACCGAAGTCGGTGTCATAACAAGTCGGAGCTCAAGTGTCCGGTGAACGGCTGCGCGTACACCACCCGATACAAGCCATGTATGACTGTTCACACCGATAAACACAACGGGATTAAACGGTTTCCTTGCGATTGGCCCGGGTGTGACTTTGCCTACAATACCCGGTCATCTCTAAACAATCACCAGATAGGCAAACACGGAGATCGGGCCATAGCATGTGAATGGCCGGGATGTGACTATAAGTCCAAATGGGGTTCGGTTTCTAGTGACCACATGGCCACACATCGCACCGATCGGCCGCACGCCTGCCATTGGCCCGGATGTGAGCGCAGGTTTAAGACTAAGTCTATGGCGCAGAAACACATGATTGTCCACAACGGTGTGTCCATACCGTGCGATGTGAAGGGCTGTCCATTTGAGACAAGGCATAGGGATTCCCTCAGAACTCACTACAGACTTATTCATCACATGTAATATAATTTTAAATGTAATTTTAATTAAGTTTTTAATTTACGAATCGATTAAATTGTAAAGTTTATAAAAATTTTAGAAACTTGTGAATACTGTAGAAATTAAAAAATTTTATAATCTATAAATTAAATTATGTTTTCATGTGTTATAATCAATTGATTTATTGATATTTACCTTTAATTAAAGTATTAATTTTATTAATTAAAAAACTAATTGTATAAATGATTTGCCGCCAAAGAGTTTGAATAGCTTTGCATTGAATGGATTGAATGGATGTTTGCATTCATTCATACATTAATAACGTTTGGGTTTTGGAGTTATTTTTGGTGACAGTTATAGAGAGTAAGCATTGATAGGGTTTCACAGGTTTTACACATTCAACACGTTTTCTATGAATGAAATAAATTGTATTTTGATTGTAAATACTGTTATAATTTTACTGAATATTTATTATTGTTTGCAAATAAATAAAATTTAATTTATTAATGAATTAAATGAATGAATGATTAAATTGTGGTAAAAATGAGTGAAATATTGATCAATGATTTGGTGGAAGAGTTGAGTGAAGAAAACCTCCGACTATTGAATG